TTTTATGTTAGTCATGAAAGGCTAGACGAGCTGTTTTTAACTTGTAGTCTGGTGCGATACACAATTGCATTACTGTAAAGAAGAGTAGAGTTATGTCCCTGAAAGGAGCAATTAATATCTGTCTTTCCACTTCTCCAGAGGGGAGAGTAAAATGCCAGGTTTTACCTGTTTCTGTCCATCTGCTTTAGAAAACAAAGGAATATGGCAAAAGCCTCTTTATTTCTTCCTCTGTGGGGCATTCTATTTTCCCCCACTCAACACTGATTACATAAACTAAGTAAAAACATAGTTTATTCATTTACTGACAAAGTTATTCTTAGGTTTTTCTAAAGACAATTCCATGAAAATCAGCACTGGAGTCATACATTTACTGTTCACTTTATATCAGTCCTCTTCTGCACTATATTCTGGTTTAGTAAGAAACCAATATTATGATTTCACCCTTGAATTCAATTGCATTTTGCTTATTCTCCATTTCTGTTTGTGCAAGACTGTAGTGAGTAATTATGTTGTTAAGGTTTTTCAAACAAAAAATGTTCCTGCGTAAATGCAGATATTGTTTTTGTTTTTCTTAATGTCAGATTAACATTGCCACCATGGGGATAAATTTGCTTGTATTTATGGCAGGACAGTGACAGAGACAAGCACTGCAGAAGATGTAATCTGTGACTCTTTGTGCCTGCAATATCATTCAGGTTAATATGGTTCTAAACACACAACAGAGGACTGCAAGAAAAAATAATTACCAATTCTCTTACTCATGCAAGTCTTGTATGTTCATTTAGAGATTCATGTTTTAAAGTGTGGCTGCATCCTCCTCTGTGGTGATTTCTACCATGGAAACATAGTGGGATGACTCTCATGACTGGAGTGATGAAGTGAATGGCCATAAACTCTTTAGAAGAGACAGGTGAAGCGAGGGAAGTGGTGGGATAACACTGTGTGTTAGGGAGTGCTTTGTTTGTATTGAATTTGGTGAGGATGAAGATGACAGCTGAGAGCCTCAGGGTGAAGGCTGGGGAAGGTCAGCAGGGTGCAGGTGTGCCAGGAGTCTGTTACAGACCAGCCAGCTGGGGAGAATGGGCACTTGGGGAGCTCTGCAAGACACTGCCAGAACAGTCCCCAGCCCTTGTACACGTGGGGGGCGTCAGCTTGCCACGTATCTGCTGGAAATACAGCGCAGCAGAGAGGAAGCATCCAGGAGGTTCCTGGAGTGTGTGGAAGAGAACCTCCTTATACAACTGGAAAATGAGTTTACTCAAGGAGGTGCTCTGCTGGACCTGTTGTTTGTGAACAGAGGATAGATGGGTGATGTGTTGCTCAGTGCTCAGAGCACCAGAAATGTTGGAGGTTTCATTATTGGCTGTAGGAAAGAGGAGCACCTTCCTCTTTGGATTTCTGGTGGGCAGACTTTGGCCTGTTTAGGAGATTGATTGACAGAGTCCCATGGGAGTCAGTCCTGGAAGGAAAAGGGGTTCAGGAAAGCTAATGTATTTTAAAAAGGAATTGTGAAATATTCAGGAGCAGTCTGTCTCAAGGTGTAGGAAGACAAGTTACCAGGGAAAAGTGCAGCCTGATTAAGTAGAGAGCTTAGGCAGAAACATGAGAAAAAAAGAGAATCTCTTGACTCTAGAAGGAAGGTCAGGTGACTTGGGACAACTACAAGGATGTTATGAGGTCATCTAGGAAAAAGATTAGAAGGGACAAGGTCCAATTACAACTTGATTTGGCTGTTACACTTAAAAATAAAGATGGTTGCTATAAATACATGGTTGACAAAAGGAGACTCAAGGAGTGTCACCGTCATTTGCTGAATGTGTGGGTTTGTCTGGGAGCTGGATTTGTTTGGTCTCAGGAAGAGGACAGGAGTGCAGGAGGGGACCTCACTGCTCTCTAGAATTCCCTGAAAGGAAGGTATATCCAGGTCTCTCCTACATTGCTGCAGTGAGAGGTCTAGAAGAAAAGTCATTAAGATGAGACAGGAGAGATTCAGATTAGATATTAGAAAACATTTTTTCACTATTAGGGTGGTCAGGCATTGGAGTAAGTTTCCCAGGGAGAGAGTGGAGTCACCATCCCTGGAGTTGTTTAAGAGGCATCTGGATCTGCTGCTGGGCAGTATGCTTTAGTGATTTAGAGATAACAGTGGTGGTGCTGAGCAGACGGTTGGACATGATAGATCTTAAAGGTCTCTTCCAGCCTTGATGATTCTATGCTTCTATGATTTTACCTGGCCATTCATTAAGTGATAGGTAAGTAAATAAGGTTCAAAAAGTGATAAATGCCTATCCTTCCTTTCTATCACCAGAAATCCTTTCTTTATGTCTTCTGGGATCCAAACACCACTTGTGTCTCTCCCCAGTACTTGAATGCAAAAAATCAAGTTGGTTGTATAGAAATTACTGCAGTGGGAAGAAGCTCCACTCCTCGAGACAAATGATGGTTGAGTGACCACAAATTGGAGTTCAACAGGAAGGCATAAGCTCCCACTGGGCAATTATGCACGATATACCTACTGGAGAAATTTTGAGAGATTTTGCAGTCCCCCACAGTTAATGATTAATACTCAAAAACAAGATGTAATCTGTTTATATATTTTTCTATACATTTTTTACCTTAATGTAATTAAGGTCATTAAGACATCAGGTTGAAAAATAAAGGACATTTTGCTCTTGGTCCTTATTTAGCATTTGGTAAAGTTTGAATAGTTTAATTGTATATTGTATAAAGGATTATAAATGAGTTTTTACATTTTTAATAGCAAGCCTTCTATTTGTACACTAAGAAAAGCCTAGAAAAAAGTTCTATATCTCTATTTTATCTGTCTCATATTTCTCTGTTGTGATTCTTCAAACATTGTCCCATTAGAAAAAAGCCTGTAAAGTTCTTTTTCCAGAGAGGTTCCACTTTGATAAATGTGAAATATTCACCTGAGGAGGTAATTTAGTTACTGTTTCCAGTAACAAATTCATTATCAGTAACTAGTTCTATAAATAACTTTTCTCTTTCCTTGATCTACCTTAGTCAGTGAAGGTAGTTTGGAGCAAACTTTTATTTCTGTACAGTATTTGGTTTGACTTGCACCCATCTTTTTGGTGGTTAGGTATAGAAATTTATTTCAAGCCTTTTCAATAAGTAGTAGCACTGCCCATATTTTTAATTGAGAGGGCACATGGAAATTCATATCAGTATTAAAATTAAAAAGTTTAGAAAAATGTTCCTGGATTAAAAACAGTGGAATAAATCTAACTTTTAAGAGATGTGAGCTTGGTTTCCTAACTACTGTAAATCAGGATAGTTAAATCAAATTATAGCAAACCTGAGAGCACAGTAAGATTGGATGGAGTCTGTGGCAGCTGAAATTCAATATCCTCAGTCACATGGACACAGACTACATTGTAGCACTCACTGCTGTTGAAGAAGGGCCGTGAGTGTAGGATGAAGGCCTTGGATGCTGTACATAATACAATGTGCCATGTTTAAGTCAGTTGAATGGAAGAAAGAAGGTAGACTGAAAAAATTGTTGTTGAATTGTTTCTTGATTACTCTCTTCCACAATAATAGTTGTGTCTTTTTCAACTAATTAAGCATTTTCTACCTTTCTTAATGAGATGCAATGAAGGAGACTATCAGATGCAGCACACTGAGTGCAAATGTGTCATTCTTTTAAAGCACATTCCTTTAAAAATGCATAAATCCAAGACTAATAAAATCCAGTGCATATATCCAAGACCAACTGCAAACTGTTTCAAACCATTGTTTATTTCTCTGTGATGCCTGTAATCCTGAATGCACCACTATTCATCCACAGGATCACCTCTGTTAGGGCTACATTCCCGACTTTGGGCATATACCAGTTTTTACTGTAATGTTTGTCACTTCATTCTGATGGTGTTTTAACCAATGCTCACTCTATAATTGTTGTGACCTATATACAAATCTGTTTGCCTGCTGTTTTGGGGACCATTGCAATGAAGGCCACCTCAAAAATAAGTTCTGGTTATGGTATGTACATGATATTTTTCTACCTTATTTTTTCATTTTTTTTATTTGCCTTCTGTTCAGGTTCACTGAAAGCAAATCTTTATTAGTTTAATTATTCTGTATTAGATTAGTGTTTTCCTTCATACCTGAGGTGGATCTTACGATTCCTCATAGGGTGATGCTCACAGAATGACCATAGCAGGAATATAGTCAGTCCTTACTTAAAGCAATTTGTGCTTCAGGGAAACCACCACTGATTTTAGTGGAAGTTCTACAGCTACAAGAGCAACAGGTTTATCAAGTATATATGGAGAGCTTCTCAATACAATTTTTCTACAGAACTACATTAAAATAAAGACTGAGGTAATCAATTAATAAATGGATTCTTGGAATAAGAGCCTCCATCAAACAACAAATAATTTTCTTCTGTTCTCAACTGGTGCTTATTTCAGCCAGAGGGAGTTGAGTATGCTGGTTTTGCAAAGCATTTTAATCACACATGTAATACTCATAAAACATATGGTTCTGCATGCATGGGTATGTCCCTCTGATATATATATAGGTAAGCCAACTCCCCCAAAAATATTCAAAATTCAGACAGAGCAATAGGTTAAGCTCTGATCATTTTAAAAACAAGACAATTTTGCAACTAATATAATTTCATTGGCTTAAGTGAGGACAGGCTTTTTTTCAATATTTTATTTTAATGTTTATCATTTCTAGGTGACACTAACTTATTCCTCATTTCTTAAATGGATAAGAATAATAAAACAAGGACAGAGCCAGAATTTCTCCCTCTAATTTTCTCTTGATCAAAAGTATTTTAATTTCTGTAAATAAATAAAGATTTATCAGTCCACAGCAAGAGCTATTCACAAGCAGGATCACCTTCTGTAGACAAGGCTGCTCAGAGTCTTATCCAGCTTGACCTCCAGCACTTCTAAGAGATGGACATCCACAACTTCTACAAGCAACTTGTTCCAGTGCCTCACCACACTTTTGGTAATTAATTTCTTCCTAATATCTAATTTAAAGCTACCCTCTGTTAGCTTAAAGCCACTCCCCTTTATTCTATCACTCCTTGCATTTCTAAAGTGCCCCTTTCCATCTCTCTTTTCAGTACTGGAAGGTGCTACAAGGTCCCACCAGAGCCTTCTCTTCTCCAGGCTGAACAATCCCAGTTGCCTCAGACTGTCTTCACAGGAGAAACATTCCAGCCCTCTGTTCAACTCTGGATTTCTCTGGACTGGCTCCAACAGGTCCACATCTCACAGTCATTGCAATCAGCATTTCTGCACTAGGGTGGAGTTTTCCCAAAAATTTTGAATAAACCAAACTAGACAGGTATTTTCTTCCTGGCAGATCAGTTGTGGTAATTTAACATCTTTCTCTGGATTTGTCGTGGTAATGGCCTGATTTTAAAGGTCCAGGATACACACTTGTCTCTACACTTGTGATTTTAGATGGTAAACCATGATTTGTGTAAGAGACCAGAAGTTTTGGATATCTACAAGTTATATCTTCTTTTTCTCCACAACAGAATCCTTAATTGGACTAAATTGGACTAAATTGGACTAAATAGGACTAAATGTCCTGAGTGCGGCCATGTGGTCACAACCTTTTGATCTGTTCACTGGATGCTAAGTGTAGTAGGGTTTGTGTTTTTCAAAAAATATCAAGGTGCAGCCTATAGCTGTATAAAATGGACATAAAATATAAAATAAAAGAGATAGGATAAAAATAAAATAAAGGGAGTTTAAAGTACTATTTTATTTGTTAATGGTACAAGAAATATTCTCTTCCCACACTCCAACAGACTTTCTTGTGCATACCCTGGGGTGCACACACCACTCTAAAGACCACTGTCCTAAAGTTCTGTCATTGCTGTTTCTTTTTCTAAGCAAAGTCTTGTGTAATTTACAAATCACTATCTATGAAAGTGTTTTTCTGCATTGTGCTTTAAATGCTGGGAAGTATTCAGCATTTTAAAGTGTACAACAGTAATGAAGCAAAGCCTGCCCGCTCTGCCATCAAGGTTTCTATAGCTAAGAGTTAATGTCCTACTTGTTGCCCAGGAAAACAAAGCAGAACTGTTTTCTTCTGCAAAGACATCATATGTCACCATGTCAAACAGTTGCCAGCATACAATTGCATATGAAAATGTAGATCTCACTGTAGACACCACATATGACACAAAATGTCTGTAAGTCAGAGAAAGAAACCAGAAAAGGACAAAAAATAATCTAATAGATAAGAGTATGAAACTTGTAAATAAAATCCTAGTTCCACTGAAATTCAAAGTTCTCACACACTCCCACTAGGTTAAAATTCTGCATCAAATACAGATTGTGAGCAGCACTCTCTAAGTCAAAGACAGGCAAGATTTCAAACAGGAACACTGGAAGTTAGACCAATGCATATCCTTAGTAGGATAAAATATATTTTATTTGCTGGAAAGACACTTGTCTGGTGGAATGCATTAGGTAACAAGCTGTCAGAAAGGAACTCCATCTTTTGAAATTGAATGAAAATGTGCTTAAATGTATTTAACCTGGCAAATAGAAGCTGCCAGCTTAATTAATTTTTAAATACATCTCAGCTGCAGGAAGGCAATCCAAATTTTGAGAATTCCATTTAGAATTCAGCTAATAGCTATGAAAAAGAGCATAGAAGAAGCAAAAGCTATGCCAATCCTCTTCAGAAAGGTATAATGTGGAGATTGAAGTGGAATGGTAGATGTTCTGCTTTTGGCAAGCCTTTTTTTGAAGAGTTTGAAGCCCATAATTAGAGTAGCAAAACACATCCTTTAACATATAGTGATTCCAGGGACCAGAGATTATTTGAATGATGAGTGATAACTCCTGATTCAGCAAAATACTTATAAAAGTGTTGAAACTGCAAGCATTTACATTTATCAGTGCTAGTGAATGAAATCACACAGCCTGCTTGATGTTACAGATCAGAACTCTTCACTGATTCTGTGGTGTTTCTGCCTTAGAAAAGCACATAAATCGGTCAAATCTCTAAATCAGATCAACACATTAAATGGTGATATGGATACAATAGGGAGTTACTTAAACATGAGTCTTGAAACAAAGGTAGGTGAGAATGCCTTAAATATGTATATGCATATTTGCATATACAGTGGCTGGGATGAAACAACACACTGTGGTAGTCCAGACAGGCATCTTTAGTTTTTCCTTTCAGACACCTGTGATTAGCAATCAGTTATTAGGAAAAGTTCAGAAGCCTTGGAATATGTAATGCTTAATCCTCAGAAGTTCCAGGATGAAACACTTCAGGTTTGAGCTTGACTTATAGAATTTTGTAATCTTCCTATAGAGTTTACTCTCTCTTAGTCATCATTTTAGTTCAGGTTAGTAATCGTAAAATTAAACCAGGCCTCAGCTGCTGCCTGGGCTGCAATGAGGTACAAAGAATTGCCAGAGATGCTGCCAATACCCTCATGTGCCCCTGAAAACACTGAAATTAGTTGAAATTGATTTGGGAACTTACACGAACGGCTTCTATCTTAACAGAAGTGATCAAGCACTGCAGTACCAGTGAAATACATTTAAATAGATCTAAATATCAAATAAGCTTGGTTTATGTCATATTCTCTATGGACAACTTGTTTGTTTGGGGCTGGGAAGGGGGATTTTTCTGTTGATGAAGTAAAAGGTATATTTGGTATTAGTGTGTATGGGACTGGGAGAATATAGGTTAGTAAATATTTAAAGGGGAACCTAACGAATTGGGTACAGACTTTGGGTAGTCAATTTCACAAAGACAATAGAAGAATCAAGAACCATTTTCACAATGTAGAAAAATCAATTCATCAGCACGCTAATGAAAGAAGTGTCCCGGCTGACTTGAGCTGCTAAAACTCACTGTTTAGCTGGGAAACTGCCAAATGCTCCTCATATACACAAAGTGGAAATACAAAATAAATGAATGAGCAAATTAAAGCTGGTAGGATATTAATCTCTTATGCAAGTAAGTCTGTGAGCATAACAGAATTAAGCTGGGGATAACTTTGTCACTAAATTATTGGTAACTGAACTTTTAATACCCTGGTCAAGGGTTTATGCTATGTGTATTTTACAGCTATAGTTGAAAGAAGTACAATAAAAATTATTAGCTGAAATTAATATAATCTACCATCAAAGAAAGTCATAATTTAAAGAACAATCCTTCCTTTAAAAGGAAATGATCAAATGATTTTATGTAATACAGTATACCTGCATATATGTTATATATTGGAGACTGTGAGTCAAAATATTGGAGCTTGTGAGTCAAAAACAGAAGACCAGCTCTGCTCCAGAAATCCTTCTGCTCATACTCAGTAAGCTTCTCATTCTGTAGGCATAGAGGTAAACAGTGCAGAATCTGGCTATGTGCTAGGACCAAGGGACAGTCAGTTCACGTGTTTGTGTATCTCCAGGATCATCTCCCCTCAGGAAGCCAGGCTGATTTTGACAAATGGTGAGAAAATGGACAGAAATATGTCTCATCGATTTTTAGCTACACATATCCACTATTTATCATTCTGAGATGTGGGGTCACAGTTGATGTGAAGTAAAACACATATTTTTGTAATTGATTAATATTTATGGCTGGGAATTTCATGGACATCAGGGGAAGAAATTAGGCTAATACTGAGTACAACTAAAAGTGTTTCTCTAATGGAAAGAAAGCAGTAGCAGAACAAGTAGGCATTTTATTGTATTTAATTACTACTTCAGTTATTGGTTTCTATTTATAATTTAAGCAGTTTGGGAATCATCAGCCATTGACAGCACCTAGTTCCATAACCACATTCAGTACAAACTGAGGCAGGTAACTCACACTCTTCCAGTCAGTTAAACTGGAATACTCTTGGGAAACGAAATGAGATGTGTGAAAAGGCCCACAGCTGTGCTGAAAAACTCTTAGCACCCAGAAGGTGGGAGTTGATACAATATTATGTGTTTTAGTGACACCACGGAGGCACAGGAATAGACTGGAAGTGCAAATGACCAGAGAATGAAAGCATTCCAGGAGAAGTACATCTGAGGAAAAGTAGATTCCAGTGCATGGGCATGTTTTAGCTTCTGCTATAGCAGTTGGGAAGAAGTGCTAATTCAGGTGTATTGCTACAGTATTGCTACACCTTGAGTGCTGTGTCCAGCTCTGGGCCCTCAGTTTGGGAAGGACCTTGAGACACCTGAGCAGGTCCAGAGGGGGCAGCGAGGCTGGTGAGGGGCTGGGAACACAAACCCTGTGAGGAACAACTGAGGGAGCTGGGGGTGTTTAGCCTGGAGAAAAGGAGACTCAGGGGACACCTTAACACTCTCGAAAACTCCCTGAAAGGTGGCTGTAGGCAGGTGCGGGTTGGTCTCTTTGTCCAGGCAAAATCTGATAGAACCAGAGGACACAGTCTTAAGCTGCAGCAAGGGAAATATAGGTTGAATATTAGGAGAAAGTTTTTATGGAAAGAGTCATAAAGCTCTGGAATGGTCTGCCTGGGGAGGTGGTGCAGTCACCATCCCTGGATGTGTTGAAGAAAAGACTGGATGTGGCCCTCAGTGCCATGGTTTAGCTGAGGTGTCAGGGCATGGGTTGGACTTGTTGATCTTGAAGGTCTCTTCCAAGCTAGTAATTCTGTGAAATCTGCGAATTTGTAACTCGGTGCCCAATCTAAATACAAACCTGAATACCTACAGTTGCACAATTCAAGTATTTTCTGTGATGAACTACCCAGACTCTGGGAGAAGAGGGATTGCTCCTTTATCTACAGATGCAAATTCATATAGCTCTAAATACTTTTTATCTGCTTCACTTGCACACCCAGATTTTCTTCTGTTCATTTTGTTTCACATTGGCACTAAACTAGGCTGCAGCCTTGGCACAGGATAGCTGCAATGGGATATTACTGAAATTAGCAATGTTCATAAAATGAGAAAATGTGCAATGTCTGATTGTGCAGAATCCTCAGCTAGTGTAAGTGCAGGTCTAGCAGTAGCAAAAAAACCCCCAACTTTTCCCAGAAATTTATAACAATAAATCCTGAAGGAAATTCTGATCATTTAGCCTGGTCTTTTACATGGCAGAGGCTGTTCTGTTTCTGACAATTACCCCAACACTTATCCAAATAATTTTGATTTGTAGGCATTGATCATTAAAAAAGCCCAAAACTTTGATAGTTTGTTTCAATATTTCATACTTATTTTGTTACAACCCATCATCAACATCCAGTTTTAATTAGTCTCATTTCAGCTTCAGGTCCTAATTTACAGCAATTACACTTGTAAATTATTTTTTTATATAGACAAAGAATGCTTAGCTGTAGACTATTCCACAGCAGGCAAATTGAAGGATTATAGTAACTTTTAGAATAATCATCTCTCCCAGTTTTGAAAAGGCTTTTAAAACTTTGTGGTAAATTGTTTCACTATACATTCCCATAAAGACTCATATTCACCAGCAGGTTTGGAGGTATTTCTACATCTGTTCCATAAGCATTCTACTGTGTCCCCTGGTTTATTGTTGGATCATTAAAGTACTCACCAATTTTAAAAATAAAAACATTCAAAACCACCTTTCTTTTCAAGGAAAATCTGTATTTAGTGTATTTTTAGCCTTAATAATACCTCTCCCAGACTGTGAATATATATTGTCTTGTAAAATATATTCACTCTAGCTGGATATGATAAATGCATGTTTCATATACAAACTTCTCTGAATATTGAAAAAAAAAAAAAAAAAAACGACCAAAACCCTGAGATTAAGGGTCCAGTAACTAATTTGCTCTGCAGAGGTTTTGGGGCCATCTGCAGAGTACTGGCCACTTCAGGCAATTTGAGAACTGGTAGACTCAGCGCAAAGACAAGGGTCTGGCTGCAGTCAATCAGTAGTATGTTACTCTGCCCTTCCCTTCTTCTTCCCATGGTAATTTTAGTAGTTGTCATATATGAGTTTGCACCACTCCCACAATAAACCTTGTTTTGGCCAGAAGAGCTTCTTCGTTTTATTGTGCATGATATGCTGCTTGCGTCTGTGGCTACTCATTCCTACCTCACACCTCATTTGGTTTTGCACAGCTTGGTGGAATCTGCAGATTTAATCACTGAAACACTGAAATTTCCCAGTCTAAAAAGGAGTAAACAAGGAATAATATTTTGGGGTACACTCAATTCCCACGGCCCAGGATGCAGCCCTGCTCATGCATTCTGGCAATGCCAAAAGTGAGTGGTGACAATCTGCAATGTAGAAATAAGAACATGCATCCTGTCCTGATTTTGGCTGGAGTAGAGATCATTTTCTTCCTACTAACTGGCACAGTGCTTCATTCAGCATAAGAATAATGTTGATAACAAACTGATGTTTTAGTAGTTGTTACTTTGGGCTTACCCTATATCAAGGACTTTTCAGTGTTCACAAGCACTGGGAGGGACCATGGCCAGGAAACCTGGTCCAAACTGGTCAAAGGGGTGCTCCATAACATAGCACATCATGCCTAGGATGTAAATTGAGGGAAGGTGGTTAGGAGGATGGGGAATGGGCTAGGAAGTGGTCAGCAGAGGGTAAGACCTCGTATTGTCTGTCGCTTATTTCTCTTGAGTTTTATTCCTCTCTCTCAGTCTCCCTCTCTCTCTCTCTTTCACAACAGTCATTACTATTATCATTTCATTATCATTATCATTATCATTATCATTATCATTATCACTAATATTATTGTAATAATAGTATTTTTCTTCTCTTAAATTATCAAATTGTTCTTTTCTCAACACATAAATTTTACTTTTCTTTTCCATTTTCCTCCCCACTGGAGGAGAGGCAGGCAGCAGGGGAGTGAGCAAGCAGCTGTGGGGTACTCAAGTGTGGGTTAAACCATGACACATGAAAGGAGGACTTTTTTTACCAGTTAGGATGTACTTGTGAAAATAACTGCAACTAAGCCATTAGTCCACAGTTTCATGACACACTGAGTCTGACTTTAGAGCTCCCAGTACTAGATCAAAATCAGTACCATCACATGACACAAAGCAGTGAACCAGCACGAACTATTGGCAGCTGGAGATATTTCTACGTCTTTTGATGGGCTGCCTTTGTACCATAAAGCAAGTATTATTTAACCTCCCATGTCTGGCTTTTGGCTCAAAAACTGTCATGAACTTCACAGTGTGCTTTAGCTAAAGCAATATAAACACAGCCATAAACTTCATGCTTGATTTGAATCAATTTCCTATAAATGAGTGATTCAATAATGTGGTTTCTTAGTATTGATGACTATGAAGCTATGGTCTCACTCTAGAGTGATACACTTTAAAACGTCAGTCATTAGAGATGTGCTACAAGTATCTGACTATTATTTTAACTATGACATCTGATATAAATTTCCACCTTTTCTTCTATATACACATACATATACTTCAATTATCCACTACTTTTTCTACTCAAGTGTGGATTGGGCACATTAAACTGGAATCTTTCTCTGACTTAGGGATTGTGTAAGCAGGACAATGTTCTGTTCCACTCTTTTACCCTTTCTTAGCATGAATTCAAATAGCAGATTCTTTGTACCATATAATAAAGAATTCTGTAATCTTTCTGATAACTGTTGTTCACATTATTCACAAAGGAGCAGTCTAGCACAATGATGAAGGAAGGTTTTTGTCCACACAGCTTTCCTTGTCTCAAATCACTCTCTTTACAGCCCTCACAGAAAAAATGGACTGAAGATTCTACTAATGTAATGTCTTACAATAGGTTCCCCCAATATCTTGCCCTTCAGCTCAGAAAAGATACACACACAAAAAAAATTACCAATAGAAATGTTAAAGGGATCCCCCTATCCTTGTTTATTCTAATGAAAAGTTTTGGAGTCACACTTCATGGAACACCACTGCAGACTGTATTCCTCCATTTCACACCAAATGGTAGGTGGTCAGACATGCCTGAACCTCCACGACACATTTCCAACAAAAAAACTAATGCAGCTGCACTGGGGGAGCACAAAAGGAGTCTGCAATACCAAACACAGTTGGGAAAAAGTTCACAGGTGATTTCAGAAGCCCTTTTCCGCAGAGAAAATCCACAAAGGAAAAATAGATATCAGGAATATCTTGTTTTGCTGTGATGAAATTATTCTCCATTTGTATTAATTGGAGAATTATTTAGACAGCCTGACAGTTTAGACAGCCTGATGGTGAGTTTATGTATCCTCTCCCTAGCAGTAACAATATGGCCTGTTGTGCAGAATAGGACATTAGCTGTTCTTTCAAATTTGCTTTTTCACTGTCATCTTGTAATAATAGACTCTATCCCTTCTGTTCACCTCCCATCACATTCCAATAGTATCTCCCCTCAGAATCAGTTTTGTGCTTTTCCCCCACATATTTTATATATGCAGGACCAGGAGTTGCTCTCAATGATCCTGATGGATCCCTTCCCACTCAGTATATTCTGTGATTCTGTAATTCTCTGCTCATGTGATATGTGATTGTGCTTGATTGCTTGTTCCTAAATGGACACTACATCTTATTTCATCTATACAGCCTGGTTTGTTTTGTTTGATTTTTAAGTTAAAACAGTTTTTAATCACATCAGTTGCACAATTAATAATGAGAATCTTACTCAGATATTCCTCAAGAAATACATAGACATCTTTGTCTTATTGTGGGATTTAGTGCAGTGAATACCAGGGTTACTCAATTCTGCACAGATGACTGACTGCTAATTAAGACATTATTCCCTAGTGTCTATATACCCATGCCTTTAATTTAAAAACTAACCTTTAACAATATAATCTATATAAATGAAGCTGGTATTATTTCCTTTTTATTTTATGGAATTCACAAAAGCAATCACAGGAATGTCCTTTGCAGTTTCAACCCTATTATAATAAGAGCACTCTGAATGCCAGTCCTACTCTGTTCCCTCAAAAACATTTAAAACCTTCAGTATTCCAGAAATATCTGCAGACTTCCTCAATATGTTCTGTTTTCCACCCTGCAGGCCTTTAACTAAAATCTTGAACAGAAGCATGCTCTAGACAGACTTATGCAATACTGGAATGACTTCCCAGACTGAGAGCTACAGTTAAGAAGGGTACAGTGTTTCGCCACTGGATTGCCATTTCACATGGGCCATATATATGTGAGTGTAAACAGCTTCTACTTGCTATATAGTAATTCCTCTTCCCTAAAGAATTGTCGTTTTTTCAATAACATGGTTATTCCAATTGATTCTCTGATATAATGCATTATTAGCAAAACACATCCTACTAGCAAACAGTTGTTTCCTAGTTAGTTGTTTCCTAATTATATATTTGTTTCTCCTAGAAATTACTCCAGACACAAATTCAGAACAATACCAGATTTGTTCAGGATCATGTCTTGCATAAAAAGACTTAGAGAAGAAATTATGTCATCCCTTATCTCAAGAAAACACAGATGATTCAAGCCAAAAGGTAATAGTTCTGTAGTTTGTGGGCTACTTATGTATTCTGCTATATATTGGGGGAACACTCACATGATTGGTAGACAAGATGCTCTGGTGTGGTATTTCACAGAGGTAATATTCTCACTAATTTGGCAGGCTAAATTAAAACCTCCTGACCTGCTGTCAAGGAGCTAGGCTGGAAGGTTAGGTCAGGAAGGTGTTTGATCTTGCTGTGACATCATCTGTGATGTCTTAAAGGGATGCAAATGAGGCGAGTTGCTCAGGACTACTTCAAATTTCAGCTCAATGCAGCCGTTAGTTTAGGACTTTGCTCAGCAGCAGATTTGTTCAAAAATCCATCCTTCCACGTCTTCTTCAAGACTAATTTGAGCATTAGCAGCACCCAGGTTTTACCACACCTCCAGTGTAGGCCAAGTGGTGAAAACTTAAAACATTTTCTGTCTCTAAGTACTTCTGGGTTCTCCTAGTGCTGAAAGAACAAGTTTTTATGACTTAGTGTTTTGTCTTTATTCCATGTAAGTCATACATGCCCAGTGTAACAGGGCAGAACAGACAGACTTGTGCTCAAATATTACAAAAGTATATAATCTTTGAAAACTCATACACATAAGTCTGTACTGCACAGAACGTATTTCTCTCCTTGTGGATGATTTCATCCTTTATTATCTATAAAATTCTCCACTTTACAATAATACATAGCAAGTGCTAAAATGCTGCAAATATCAGATGAAGTATTTTATGCTTCCTCTGCTTTGATGCATACCATATTATGCATGATAATAGCAACTTACTCTGTTAAGGACCTAATCTTTATATAAAATGTAGCAATAAAGAAGTTTCTATTTCACATTTCTTAAATGAGAATAGAAAAATGACACTCAGAGTTTGTAATTTCTGTCTGCCTAAAGGTGGTGAATCACTCTTGCTGTGTAACACTTAAAAGCTGTCAGTAATATCTTTCAGAGGCATCTAGTCTTTTAGAAATCTCTTTGCAGTATTTAATGATTATAGAAATAAAATACAGCTGCAAGCCATGCATCACATGGGAGATAGGGTCTATTCTTTAACATAGATTTATTCAGCCATTGTATAATAGTCTCTGCAGTGGAACTCATATTTAATGATAGATCAGTTTCTACTGTACCTGCATGAAATCACTAAAATAATTAGTCAAGATTGAAATGTAAGTGAAATAAACCCACTATATGAAACACCAAAGCTGTGTTAATCTCATTGTTTCTTTATCTTTTTCTGGCTGAACAGGATACCAGAAAAAGTAAGGCAGGTACAGCTTCTCAGAACTATACAGACTTTATGCAGCCAGAGACACGGCAACTACACAGCCAGACACACAACATTAAAGTAAAACTCTTTCCATCAGCAATCCTCATGCTTGTTACAAATCAATCTCATTAACAGGGAAGGAGAAATCCCTTAAGTTGTGCCTCTTTCCTTCTCAGCATGTAGATCTGTAACACGTTGCGACATTCTCTAAAACAGGGCAACCACCGTGTTTCCATAAGCAGGATCCCAAAGGCCACACTGGTGCCACAGGTGGATTGTCGTCAGTTCCCTTGTGTGTGTTGCGCCCAGATGTCTGGCAGGACTTATCCATTCACAGATCTCCACTTGTGTTATTAGCATTTTCCCAGAGCCTATTCTCACATGCCCCTGGTAATCCAAATGGCAATACAATGGCATGAGGGAGGATGTTGTTATTGTCCCTTGTTATTAGTGTTTGCCACATGTAAATTCAGAAAGAATCTGCAAATTCTGGCATATCTTTATGAAAAGAGTAAGTATGAATCTTGAATGTCATACACACTCCCATTGAACAGTTATGCTTCCCTTCCAGTACCTAAAGAGGGTGTTTGGGGACTTTTGCTGGTTTAAGTAATTCCTGGAGATGCCATCATGTGTATCTTCTCCTTAGCAGCTGTTCTGATCCTGTCAGAAAAAAAAAAAAAATCATCTTGTTATCACAGATGCTAATTCCACGATTAATCAAACCAGTTACAACTAACCTATTTAATCTGTGGGAAATGTTTTCCCCTTCTCCCCTGGGTTGCTCTGTTCTCTCATTCTTTTGCCTGTGTCTTTGATGATGACATTTACCACTTGTATGGTCAGTTTAACACAATTATAACTCAAGAAATGTAACTGACATTGAAATCTCAAACATACTTGCCAGTTTTCTCTTCCGCAGTGACCTACACAGGCATATTTGTGGCATAATCTTCTAGGAATAGAACTTTCAGTACTGTCTGTGAGAAGCAAGGGAATGCCTGCGTGCTAATATTTTTCATGTGCTCTTCCCATGAGAACTTTATGGTCTATTTTCCCTTTAGTCAAGATATTTCCTTCTCAATGTTTGCCACTGGGTGAGGTGGATTCTGTACCATGAGCAAATGTTAATAAGTATATTTTTATTCACCAGTACATAGCAGTGCAAGGTTTTGAATGAAGATGGACAGAGATCAAAGTGAAATATATGCAGGAAATATTTTCCTAAAGCACAGAAAAGCAGAAAACATGGCAAATGTCTCTAACATTTACACAGTTAAAAAATAGAAAACGAACATTAAAATTACATTATTATAATAAGCAGTTTCCTCTTTTTTTTTAACACAGTTCACATCAGTGAAAACAATTGCTTTCTTCTCAAAAAATGGCTTAGTTATAGCCCTAGTGATGAAAATATTGAATATTTTTACACTTTTATCTGTATCCACAGTATAAAATTTTATTCTCTTTAGATCACAGATGAGTGAACTTTTGCATTAATACAGAATTCTCTTATGCATTAACAGAAATGTGATCCTGCACATCTGTCCTTTATTTGATCAAAATTCATGGCTGATATATATTGATGTTTTCTTCACCTCTATTTTATCCAGAGTGATTTCTCCTATGCGGTTCACTGGCATAGAGTCATAAAATTAAAGAGCAAAATTAGGTTGTCCTTTGAAAACAGGTCTTTTGACTTCCCTCTAACTGTTGGAACTTTTCCCTGATGATTCTGTACTAAGCATTTACTCCAGTGTTGCTACCTTTAAAGTCCAGTCACCTTTAGATAACTATCTTTTGAAAAAATCTCAATCAAATTCTTCTCCCAAAGATATTGGTTCATTTTCTTGGCCATAAAACCCATTAACAAATACAATGTAGCACAGGTCTTTATGAAGTGAGGTGGTTTTTTGTATCTTTAACTTGACTTTTTACACAAGTAAGAAAATGTAGAGTCCATGATGTTTAAAAAAACCCACAAAGTTTTGTGCTTTGCCTTAAGGAAAAAATAAACAAAAATCCAACCTTGGTACCAAGCTTGGGTAGAGTTGCACAGTCTTCTAAACCCAACAGATTGTTAGATCATAATACAAAACAATTTTCAATATGCAGACATCTGTTACAATTCAGGATACCAGGAGTTGTTTAGAGTAAGAGCAATTCCCTGGGAAAGTGCTATGGAATGTAAAAGTGAAGAAAACAAGGAAGAAATTAGAAAATCAGATTGCAGAAATTTTTGCTCAAACAAGATATGATTTATACTCTAGAAATACATGCCTTCAAAATGATTTTATTCAAATATTGGTATATTTTTGAGTGACTAATAAAAGCTCAATCATTTTCCCTTTAAGTTCTGTTGATATTTACCCTTATAAATGTTATTAAATAAAAAGTGATTAGTATCTGACATTAGGATAAGTTAACTTGATATAAAAATTTTAAAAACAGAAATTAGTCCTTGACAGTTGAATACTAATAAATCCTAGCAGAAAGGTCACTGTCTTCCAGAACACTGTGAAATAAAAGAACTCTATTACTGTAATATTTTCTTATACTTCAGGCTTCACATGTACTAGAAAAGAGGTTTTTCTGTTTTAGACCAGTGAACAGATAGTGGGGAATTAAGGACATCTTTGTCTTAATAGCTAGATAAAGATGATGAAACTCAGGGGCCAAGAATACTTGAGAACAAAAGCCCATGATAGGCTGTTGACAGCAGCACTAACACACCTTCCCTGGCCAAATTTTTAGAGATTTCATGTCTCTACTTTGTTCTACTTAAATATTTCCTTTTTCCTTTTTTATCCTGGAAAGTCCCATTCACAATCAATTGGTTAAGACACTGAACTGTTAAAAATATATCAAAAGTGGTATCTTCCAAGGGCAAATCTATCTTACAGAATAATCAGTATGATGAGACTGTTTTACAGAAAGCTAGCTCTTACTGGAAGTGTGTGTATTGCATTTGCATGGCCAGGTTTTGGTAGCCAGGGTGGCAACTGGGATGGTTTCTGTGAGAAGCTGCAAGAAGCTCCCTCTATGCCTGACACAGCCAGGGCCAGCCGGGTCCAAGACATACCCTCTGCAGGCCCAGGCCAGGCCCATCAGTGACCATGGTAGTGCCTCTGGCACAATGTATTTCAGAAAGAAGGGAAAAAACTTGGTGCAATTGCAGCCAGAAGAAAGGAGTGAGAATATGTGAAAGGAGCAGCCCTGTAGACACCAAGGTCACTGCAGAAGGAAAGGAAGGAGCTAATCCAGATGCTGGAGCAGAGATTCTCCTGCAGCACCTGGTGAAGAACATGGAGAGGCATCTGAGGCTCTGCAGTCCAGGGAGGTCCACAGGTGTCATGGTTTGGGAATGGCACTCCCCAGCTGAGTCCCCCCCCAAAGCAAGACTCTCCCAAACCAGGGGCTGCTTACTCACTCCCCTGCTTCTCTAGTGAGAGGAGAAAAAGGCAGAAATAATGGGTAGAGATAAGAACAATTTACTGGAAACAGCAAGTGGACAAGTAAACAAACAGGAACAGAAACAATACTGAAACGTGTACAAAAAGAGGATGACTTACAAGCAAAAAACCCTCATCAACTGATCCAATGCAGCACCACCCTGAGACAGTGAACCATGATGGATGGACCCTCTGTGCCTGTGCAAGAAATCCCTTTCTTCTGAGCTTGGGGGTGATATGAGGTGGTATAGAATAACAACCTAGACATGCTCACACAGCTCCAGTCTCTTCCTCCTCATGGCTAGTGCAAAATTTTAACTTTGTCCTGGCCAAAATCCAGGACAACAGGGAAGCAGACTCTGTAAGTGTAAAGATGTGATTTATATGGTTTCTTGAGTGCAGCCTATTATATGAGCACAGGGATGTCTTAATACTAACTAAACTGCAGAATTAAGAAGGACAACATTTTTCTTTGGAAAGTGTTTTGCCTCTGTGTACTTCTGCTAATTAGCCCTAACAAGACTGGATTTCTAAAGCCAAAGTACAAAACATATTTACTGGACTTTCATTTTCTGAGCCTCTGAAGATGAGCATTTTCACATTTTTTATATACTGGTCTTGTATTTTGTAGTTTGCTGGTACTAACCTACAAAAAGACCATTAATGTAGAGACACTTAAATTAGTTGAATATTTGTCTACATCTTTTTTGCATGAATAACTCATAGACTCAACTTAATTCAGTCAAATAATAATTACCTCAATTTTTTCCTTAGGCCTTTGAACTCCTCCATGTAAACTTCAGTTTGCCCTACTGCAACATTTTGCATATGAGGAATACCCATGAGGATCACAGTTTGTAAAGGCTGTCTGCTGTTCAGCACACAAGGGCAAAATGAAGGATTTCTGTAACTGGAAGAATCAATGTTGCTGCGATTTGAGCTAAGAATTGGCTCAAACCGCAATAGTATGAAGGAGTAGGCACAAAGAGGAAATTCAAATATGTATGCAAGCATATAGTCCAACCAGCCAGACAAATCTATTGCTACATGCTCTCCCACATGTGGAAGACCTCTAGGGTACGCCGAGCACAGCATTGCTGCAGAGTTGAGGATGGTGATTTTCCCACTCTGCTCTGCGCTGGTACTGGAGACTGACCTTGAGCACCATCTGTAGCTTTGGGTGCCTCAGTAAGAAGGAGGACATAAAGCTAATGAAGAGTGTCCACGGGAGGGCAAAGAAGGTGGTGAAGGGCCTTGAGGGCAGACTGAAGAGCAAGACAGCTTGGTGTGTTCAGCCTGGAGCAAAGCAATGGGGTGCCTCATCACGGTCTACAGCTTCCTCACGAGGACCAGAGCAAGCAGGCCCTGATTTCTCTCTGGTGAATACTGATACAACCAAAGGGAGCTGCATGAGGCAGTGTTGGGGTGCTTTGGTTGGATATTAGTAAATTTTTAGTAAAGTTTTTTTCCCCTGAAGGATGGCTGGGCACTGGAACAGGCTCCTCAGGGAAGCGGTCACAGCACCAAGCCTGTCACAGTTCAAGGAGCACTTAAAAATGTTCTTAGGCACATGCTGACTGTGTGATCCTTGGGATGTTCTGTGCAGGGCTAGGAGTTGGACTCAATGATTCTTGGAGGTCCTTTCCAACTCAAGATATTCTATGACTCTAAGACTCTATGACATTATACTCTTCTAATATAATTTCATAATAATAAATCATAGTAAATATTAATAGTATCCTTGTATTTACCATAACTACAGACACTTGATATTAATATAGTATGAAATAGAAGAAACCATGTGATATCAAATTCTTAGGCTCAACTAGAATAAATAAATAATGTACAAAGTCCAAAGGGCTGTCTATTTTATTGTCTACAGGTCTTTACCAGGAGACCAGGTGAAAACTGAAGAAGCAGGAAAAGGAGCAAAACTCCAACAGATGGGGTTGAAGAAAAGAAATTAGAACATGTTCAACCATGTAGCAACTATATATCTCTTGCTTTTCCTATTAGAAAATGATTTACAATAGATACAGAGAAACTTCATAATTTGCTCTTCTACACAGAAAAACTATTGACAATTTCTTTTTCTCAAACCATATTTCATTTTGGGTAGTTGCCATTTTTAGCTAGTTACATCACCTTGAGATTGTTCTTCAAATTATTTGTTTCATTCTGCATTGTTTTTCTATGTCCTTCACAGTTACTTTGTCAGATATCAGCAGCACCTATGCAATGTTTGAAAAGTTTGAACTCTGGTCCTCACAGATATTTTCTTAAATGTAACAACAAAAGGAATACTTCAATGCCACTGTGACTGTAAGCAAAGTGGTGGGAAGAAGTTTCTTTTTCACCTATGATTTGCCTAGTAAATTTGACCTTCAAATGAGTTGTTAGGTAAAATAGATTTTTCCAAGCCAAGGCTGCAATACAAAATCTGGTGTATCTTGTTCCAAAACGTGTCATAAGAATGTTTTTCTTGGATCTTTAGTGCTCACTTGTTTTGTGGCCATAATGCAGTGCTTCGATTTAATTACTTGAAGGGCCCATTTTAAAAATCAGAAATTAAAAAATAAAAATATGAGAGTTCATATACAAAGCCATAGCTCAAATTCAAGTGAGTCATCAATATAATACAGTTCCTGCTCTATATAAGAGTAGACTCAACAATTAGTAGGATTCTGAATAGTTGTGCTTTCCCTTTTAAAAAACAAGGAATGATGTTTACTTTTGTATTCATTAGAATTCTTAGATCATATATAAAGTCTGACTCCCACAGATTTCAGTAATAAATAAGCCATAATGATGAAACTCAAATATGTCAAGAGTTCAGTGAAAATCATTCAGTGAGACAAACTTGCCAGTCACTTTATTGCAATTCATAATACGCATGGCCATATAAAGAGAATAACATTTGTGACTGTGTACTGACTACATCCTGCATCTCCTCTCCTCACCCATTGTCTTTTCCTTATGTCCATACTGAAAGTTCCTAATCTGGAGACTCTAATATTTCTTACTAATGGCTTGAACTACTGGTGATCAGTCAGTTTCCTGCTCATCTCTCCAGAGCTATACAGCATACTTTGCATGAGGAGAAGGATCAAAAGAGCTCTTCTTATGCTCCAAATCTTTTCTTTCTGTGAGTCCAACTACTTTTGCTTTTAGCTTCTCTTCAGGGTACATTAGTCTGAGAATGATGAAAAGATAAAACTGAGGAGGGATTGCAAAAGCAGTTGCATAAGTGGCTGTATACTTCTTCTGAGGTGTTTATTATTTGTGGAATATATGACTTGCAGTCATATTGCAATATTTTTACCTCCCTTTCTGTCAAATCCAAAAGAAGTAATTGTATTTCAAAAGACTTCCTAATACCTCATCCCTATGCAATTCTAACATGACTTTAATTATAAGGTGAAATGATGGAAACACACTCAACTTAAAAACAAATGCTACATAGATTAAAGGCAGATACAGATATTGTTAATGAATAGACACCACACTAATATGCAATCCCCATTGCAGTTTTGTCTATATTTTGATTAATTATCTTTAGAGGGAAGGAAAAAAATTTGAAACTGATATCTGTAAACAGATAATCCTTGAAATTACTGAAGTCTTCAAAATAGTTTTCCAGACAAGACAAAGAAATGCTGTTGAGAAATAGTCCCAGATCTTCCCACATTCATGGCAGCAAAGTTCTAGCCACTCTTGATTCTATACCTTCAGTATTTGGCTCTTTGATTTTTTTAGCTAGAAGCTGCAACACCACAAATGTAGTATATGACAAATAGAATACTGTGCTATTCAGAAGGAAGGATGAGGCTGCTCCAGGATGTAAGAAGGCATCAGGAAAAGGGATAAAGAGTGCCTTAAGAACTAGCAATTACAAAATTAGACTGGTGTCTTAAAAAAAGAATTCCTTTACTATTGTTGGTGATGACATGAAATGTTTGACTACTTGTCTTGGACTTTTGCAGAATCTATTTATCTTTGGCAGGTGTGATTAACTTGTAAATCTCTTGCCTTCTATGTGCTTAAGAATTTCTTTGATACCTTTATATTTAAGCATGTAGGAAATCTCCCTTGAGAATATAAGTCAATTATTTTCATTCAGCTACATCATTGAATTAGCAATTGTTTCTAAATAAAACTAATTTATCTCCCCAGAGTCCCTTAAGTCAGAGTAGCTTGCAGTTTGATCATCTTCGGTAGCTGGCCTAAATTGGATGGGTACACACAGAACAGACAGGAACCTGTTTTAAAGTGATATTCAGAAACTTAGTTTGTACATTGCCTGGTTTATGTCTTTGGGATTTCTCTCTTATAAGACCTAATGAACTTTCCTGCAATAAACTATACTGTCTGTTATTTTTAGTACACATTTTCAGTTTTAGGTTGGTGTTTTCTGCCTAGTTTGAATGAGAAAAGGCACTCATGGATGCAATTTAAGAGGCAGGACACTACTTTCAGACTAGTAAATTTTATGACTAAGAGCTGGTAACAGATTTCTTGTGCCTTAGCAAGCAAAGAGTTTTTAAAATTAAATATCACTTCTAGTTGATATTTGGGGGAAGGAGATAAGACTTATGTATCAGCTGATGTTAAGATGCTCAGCCAGACATCAAGGAGACAAGGTCATTCTGGCTGGCTACTCTGAAAGGGGGAATAAGTGAGCCTTACAAAGTGAGATTGTTACTAGTCCTTCCTTATGCCAATGAAAAAAATCATGTCATCTCTCTTGAGACATTTAAGATACTGCGAGTTTAGTTAAATGTGCCTGAGTTGCAGTTGCTGACTCCAGCTAGGAGAGAACAGCTTATTTCCACACTCCTAAATAATTTTAGCCTATAAAGCTGCTTGGGGGAATGCAAACTGACTAGTGGAAATGATCCATAATGTATCACAAACTGAGCTTGGAATTATTTGGAACAATGCAATCTCATGTGGGACAAAGGTAAACTAGTGACTTGTGCTGGCTTTGGCTAGGGTAGAGTTAGTTTTCTTCATAGTGATTGCATGGGGATGTGTTTTGGATCTGTGCTGAGCAGTTAAGAATATAGGATTTTTTTAATCACTGAACAGTTCTTTTTCAGCACCAAGCCCCTTTCTGCTTTTTCTAGAAAGTTGCCACACAGCTGAGGATGCCTGGGACACTGGGAGGAGACACAGCCAGGACAGGTGACCCCAACTGACCAAAGGGATATTCCAGACCATGTGACATCAGGCTCAGTATACAAAGCGGGGAGAAAAAAGGAGGAAGTGGGGAGATGTTTAGAGACATGGTGTTTGTCTTCCCAAGTCAATGTTACATATGATAGGGTCCTGAACTCCTGGGCATGCTGCCTGCCCTGCCTGCCCATGGGAAGCAGTGAATTAATTCCTTTGTTTTGCTTTGTTTATGTGCATGACTTTTGCTTTTCCTATTAAGCTGCCTTTACCTCAGCCCACAAGTTTTTCAGCTTTTACTCTTCTGATTCTATCCCAGATCCTGCTGGTGGGGAAGTGAGCAGGTGGCTGTGTGGTGCTTTGATTGCTGACTGCTGTTAAACCCCAATAGAACCACAACAAAAATTTCACAGCATGTACAATTGAATTTCAGCTCTCAGGAGCGCTCCCCAGCACAGTTCAATTTACTAGATGGTTTCAAAAAGACAAATCATAACAGTGATGTTCTTATGTCCCTTAGAACTGTTTGAGGTGGTTTATTCAGTTATTATAATTATTACATAATCTAGACAATGATGCCAATGTCTCTGTGTATGAAGAGTAATGGCTACACTTTCTTCCTATAATATCAAACACTAAGACCAAGGCGTGTGTTAGGTGGGTATCAATGAAAGTAAGACGGTTTTTGTTTTTAGCTACAAGAAATTGATGGGTATAATTGCATCCTTGTATGAGCAATTCCACACAATTTCTGTGCAAGAATACTAGTAGCTACAAGGTAAAAAGTATTGTGAGGATTTTTTCCCCAACACTCCTATTCACATTTGTGCAGAGTGCCAGAGAACCAGGCAGTCTCTGATTCAGTAACAGTTCTCCAGAGTTTCCTCAAAATTTATGGAAGAAACAAGGGGAAAAAAGCCTGGTCTGAAACATTCTGAATTCTCAAATGTATTCTAAGCAAAAGAAAAGGGCTGATATTTAAAAAGTTCAACTTTTAACTGACTTAAGTATGTCTTTATGATCCATGCCCTTGCTGCTTATCTAAAAGTTTAAAGTATTTGAGGTATTACTGCTAAAGCTGCATTTAGAAGGAAAAAGTATCTTAAAGATGAAAAGGATAAACTCAGAATGATTTTTTTTTATTCCCATCCACCTTCTAGGCCATCTCCTATTTTCATATGAGTCTAAGAATTCTCAAACCAGGAAAAAGTAGAACTAATGAGCTTTCGAGCAGAAGCCTTCAATGAGACAGAAAAAGAAATAAAATAATCTTACTTATGATGCTTTCACTGAGAAAATACTGTAAGAAAGATAAATGTCAAATGTTATGAAAATTCAGTCCAACCAAACAGATCAATGGTCTATCTGTGCCTTTTTAGTATATCTTAAAATTCTACCTAGTACCTAAACTTTCTCACTTCCTCTTTCCTGTTGTTTGTTGGAGTTTTTTTTCCTGTTCCTTCTTTTTCTTGTTTTCTTTTGGTTTTTTTTACTGAAGATGAGAAACGTCTCAATGTTTTCTGAATTTCAAAGATTTCTATCAGGACTTCCTTAAATTTTGTGTGCTTAGCAGT